ATGATGATAATAATGATGGTGATAATAATAATAATAATAATAATAATAATAATAATAACAATAATAATTAATAATGATAATAATAATAATGATAGTTATCAATAATAACAATAACAACGACATTGAAATGATAAAATTAGTTTATCCACCAGTGTCCTACTATGACCAGTGTATCCTCAGAAGAGATTTTTTTTTTAAGAGGGGAAGAATAATAACCAAAATTATGATATCTTGTGACTTCCGATATGGTCAAGATTCCAATTCTGGCAGACAGGAGTTAGCCATTTTTTTAGATGTAAAAGCTTTATTACCACTATCGGTGATGGAGGTTACATTTAGCGGTGCTGCCTCTTAAACATAACATCATAGTGTTGAAAAGGGTGTTACATCTATGCAACTATGCATCAAATAGGATGGACTGTGCATGAATGCAATTTGCACTTACGTGATCATGGACTGGGAAGGGAGGTAACCGTTACAGTACTCATCACTGGTGAAACAGTCGCGGTCAGCTCCCACAGAGAAAGCAAGCGGGTCGGGCAACGCTGAGTACGGCAAAAAAAAACACAAAAAAACTGCAGGTGTTAACAGGAGATTCAGCTGACAAGACATTGAGAAATTCTCGTTTTGCATTGTCATTATCAAGAAATTCTTTTTCATTAACCCTTTGAGGCCACAGCATAGCTGATAATATAATATGTCCGATCAGCAGCAATTTTCGGTACATTTTCTAATCATCATACACAATCAGAAACCCACTCATTTCATAGTGCGTATATTGTTGTTTTTAATTTTTTAGGTACAATGTCCCAAAACAGCGTATCTTCAAGTCTTATCGATTAACCAGAATGCGGGTCTTTAATGGGTTAAACAATCTCAATACTTGGAGAACCAGTGGATAGAAAATTGAACTCCAACCAACTCTCAGACAAAAAAACTACCCACTTAAAGTCTTGTGTAGCCCAAAGGATAGAAAGCATAGGATGCATTGTATTATTGATGAACCATGTACGAGGCACGAGGTATAAGCTGTAAATGTTAACAATGGTAAAGCCAAGTGGTGACAGATAGTATTAGAGAAACTGTTGTTATTTTATTCATAATGTATATGTTTTTGGTCTCCATAGGTATAATTCCAACCCGAAAGGAGAATGGTACAGCATCCAAGAGAACAAACAGAGGTGCTCAATAAAAATCGTTTCCGCTTGAAAATCGAATTCATATCCCTGGAAGGAATAGGGTACCATAAATGCCAATGCTTGTTCAAGATCTGACACCTGAAACGTCACATGCAACGGCGAGACGCCTAACCACCGTAGAACAGATGCCGGTGGTCACACATCTCACTCAGATAATACAATAGCAGTAAGTGAATACACAAGTGTTATGAAACAAGAAGGTCATACCTTTGCGAAGGTCAGATAGCCAGTCTTCCGGCGTGACCCTGTAGGCCGTCTTGAAGCCAATAGCTTCCGCCTGCCTCCAGGTGCCCACGTTGTCCAAGTCCTCCGGTTTGTTAATGGTTGCTGTAGAAATATTTTTTTAATGTAATTGAAGTGTTACACTGCCTTCGACGTTATTAAGATCATTAAATAGACAGCAGACTGCTTCGACCCTGCCCCTCATCGTTAACCAGGCCTAAGTGGGATACAACACCCCAGCAGAAAGATCAAGGTACTCCAGAAAAAATTATTCTCGTTCGGGAATCAAACTCATGAGTCCAACGTGAGACAGTGAAACGTCTAAAATGCTACATCACAGACGCTGGTCTGCAGAACGAGGCACGAGGTATCATAAAGTATTATAAGATAAAGATATTATGCTTGTTAGTAACTTACCAACCATACCAAGGAAAATAATGTTTTCTGCCATAGTCACAGCGCCGTCAGTAAATAAGCATGCGCCTTTCTTTTAATCAAAACCTCGGCTTTAAAAAAATATCCTTGCTTCCCACGTCATACGTCAAAAAAATCCTTCATGAATGCATGCCATACTATTTAACGCACTGTCACAAGCACTGATGACGACTACAAGCTGTACCATTGTAGTGATGTCAATGGTCTCATCAATAAAAATAGAAAGAGTTTCAAGCCTTGACTATATAGCTTTTAACTGTTATTTTGCACCGCTAGACTTTATCGTCAATCTATTTAGTATCAGAGTTTCTGATTAATGGAGTGTCTTAAATAAGCTTGCTTTATTTATTACAAGGCATTGCTTAATGAAGTCTCCTGATTTCTGCCAGTTTCGACTAATGGCGATCTTTCGATTGACCTCATATCTTGTAATAACAAACAAAATCCCGTTTCTGGACCTTGTTAACAACTCTGTTTTCTCGTCAAATTAGCCTCCAAATCCTTGAGTCTTGAAAAATGCATTGGCCTCCATATTTATCATAAGATCTGCTCCATACTGTTTCGAAAATCATTAAGGGAACATGGGAGCTGGTTAAAACATTGAACAATAATTGGCTTACGGGTCAAACAGATGCCCATCACCGACTGCACGCACACCAGGAGCGCGGCGACAGTGGGGTCACCATGGCTCTTGTCCAGCACACAACTACTGCAGATGTTGATGTCCACGTGATCTTCTGCTGGGATGACACCACGTCTGGACCAGAGGAGACTGGTGCCGGAGTAGTCGGCCAGGGGCGGGACTAGGGAACAAGTTGAACAGCAGAGCAAAGATAGTTTAGTACATTAGATAAAGTCACAGAAAAACACCCTATACTTATATTGACTGACTAGTGTGAGCCTCTGTCGAACGTCACTTTTTTTTCCCTCAAAATTGCGTATGGTAGAAGCTTAACACTAAGCTATCAATATGTCTTAGGCGCAAGGTGAGGCGCTGATTCTTGTTCCTCCCATAATAATATACAAGTAACAAAGAAAATGACAGACAGTTACGGCACTATTGAAAACCACTTCACAGAATCAATAAATAGAAATGTAACAGAATTAGAATTAGGAAATAACTGAAACAAAACATGGTTGGTAATCCAAAGGACTTTCTAAAACAAAAATATATAGGAGGAAAAAATTGTCGGAAAAGAAGTGCAGTGTCCTTCGATCGAAAAGAAAAATGTGATGGTTTTGTTTTTTGTCTTGATACTGGCAATCTATAGCTGCTTCCTTTTCCGAATTCCAAAATCAAGTCAAGTTCCAATTTACGGACGAGTAGAATTTTAACACTACTGTTTAAACTCACATGACGCCAACTGCATTTACGCAAATGCAACCAAATTTGCAAATCCGTATTTTGTTTGGTAGGTCTAAGTATTGAAACTTTTGGGGTTGTGTTGAGAACAACCAAAAAAAAAAAACGTGTTTGTTACTCTTCTACCTATTGATTCTTGAAAACTCCTCCACTAAATGTGCTTTTGCTCAAAGATGCCAACACATAATCGTATGAGGTCTTTGCTTTAAACAGTAGACTATTTTTCCCTTCGTCTGTACTGTAATGGTTAGACACATTTATACTTTAAACGTCTTTGGTTGTGTTACAAAATTTTAGGCTCTCCTCCAACGTGGCTCAATCATATCGGAGATGGACATTAGATACTGTAGGGGTCTACTTCTTAAATAACGTTAACTTAGGGTTGAGTGGAGTTTTAGACCTTTACAGTTTCTGTCTATTTCTGATCAACTTGTGTTTGAGTGCTTAATCAGCTGTTTACACTGCATGCATTACCCTCGGGATGCTGATAATGTTTTTGAGGGTTCAAGGGCGTGTTGGGGTAATAATAGTTGTCAAGTGAACAGAACTTGCTGTACAGCTTGGAGGTGCACTATTTAAAAGCAATTGTCATTAAGTTCATTATTCTAAAAACAATAATATTAATAACAATAATGATAATGATAATAATAATAATAATAACAGTAATAATAATAATAATAGAAAATAATGATAATGATAATAATAATAGTATTAATAATAATCATCGTCATCATCATAATTATGATAATCGTAATAATAGTAATAGGACAAATAATAATTTATTAGCATGATGATGATGATGATGATGATGATGATGATGATGATGATGATGATGATGATTCATTATCATCATCATTATTATTAACATTATCATTATCATAACTTACTGGGTTTTCCGGTTGTGAAAGTAGTACTTGAAGTCTTTCCGAGTCCATCTTTGCTGAAGGGGGTGACGACAGCCTCGTATTGAGTTCGTGGGTCCAGTCTCAGGAGAGTGAAGTTCATCATTGTGTCCGGGTCATTGATGAGGGCCGCAGGGTAGTGGACAAAGTTGGCCGGTCTGTCACAAGGAGGGGATGATTCTATGGTCTGAGGGCGATGTTAGATGCAATTAGATCAAGGGTATTTTTAATACCTAAAAATAAAAACGAATATAATAATTATTCTATTGCAATGACAGTGACATTATAAAGAAGCATAAACACAAACTATGAAGATTGGGGATGGTTCTATTGTCTGTGGGCGATGTCAGATGCAATTTAATTAAAGGGTACTTTTAATATCTAAAAGTGGGTGGTTGGTGGGTGCTCTGGTATGGTTTGCTCCTTCTTTCTTATTAAAAAAACTATTGTCATTATCTCCACTTCGGTTATTTTTTGGTGTTTGCTGCTCTTTTGTAACACCTCGAATCTTCTGGCGCTCATGACCTTATGCAGTTGCGAGTGCTGTTGAACACTTACTAAAACTAAACTAAAATCTAAAAATAAAAACGAATATAATAATTATTATATTGCAATTACATTGATATTATAAAGAAGTACAAACACTAAACATGAAGATTGGGGTTATGGTAAATTACTTCACCAAAGAAGCTCAGTGAAGTAATTGAGCAAGAATTCCAAATTGCTATTACCGAACAGTATGGATAACAAATACAATGTACCTTATTATTTTATTTATCTTCGTTTGATTCTCTGTCACTGTTTCTCCTTTCTCTCGGTCTCTCTGTTTCTCTCTCTCTCTCTCTCTCTCTCTCTCTCTCTCTCTCTCTCTCTCTCTCT